TTCTTGATGTTGAGACCCAGTGGGCAGATAAATAACTTTATAGCTTGAACTTAATGGCCTTTTTGTTGGGTAAAGAGAGCTGTATGTATTATCTTGTTGATAGTACACAACTAACATTTCTCTGCTGCACACCCCAGTTGGTGCTCTACAACTGCATCTACATTCCTGATATGTTAGAACAGCGAGAACAAGACAATTTGCCAGTAGTGAGAGATACTGAGAGCCAGTGTGGCGTAGTGGTTGAGAGCATGGGACTGGGACTCAGGCGACCTGGGTTCTAGTCCCCGCTCAGCCATGGAGCCAACTGGGTGGCTTTGGGCCAGTCACAGACTCTCAGCCCAACCTACCTCACAGGGTTGTTGTTGTGGGGATAAGATGGAGGAGGAGAATGAGGTAAGCTGCCTTGAGCCCTTTGTAGGAAAAAGGCAGGATATAAATAAATAAATAAATAAATAAATAAATAAATAAATAAATAAATATTGATGGGCAATGGATATGGACATATCAAGTCCATGCAGTTTTGCATTCTAAACTTGCCTAAATAGCCACACCCTGATTACAGGAAGAAAGCGGGAGTTTGCATCTGCTGCCACTGGGGAGTGCTGGGGCTGGCCAGTCCTCCTTGGCTGACCTGAACTAACCACCGAGTGTGGCAGGTAAAGAAGGCACAGGGCAGCAACGCCCTGAACTTTGGTCCCACGTTCCGGCACTCAGTGCACCATCCTTTGGACCTCTCTGGAGCATTCGGAATGGGAGCAACTAGAAAGGTGTCACACGTCCTTTACCAGCACTCCTGATTTAGGCTGCAGTCCTATGCACCATTTTACTCCTGCCAGGGGCTCTTCCAGAGGTGTTGGCTGATAATCCCCGATTGTTCCCAATGACCATATTGGCTGTGGATGATAGGAGTTGAGTCAAGCCAGTCTGGTGGATACACATACCTGGGAGTAAGCCTCATTAAATGCAGTGGGATATACTTCCAAGAAGCCATGCATAGGATTGCACTCTTCAGTGGATAAACATCATCGCCACCACAATAGCTTTGTTGGTCCATGTGGGGGAACAATCCCCAATCTACACCTGAGTAATAGCTTGACTAGGACTAACCAAACAGAAATGTGTGAGCTTTTGCATTCCCTACAACCGGCTAAGTGGTACAAAAAGAAGGGAAGAAACAGAAAAGTCCAAAATTTGGCCAGATGCCACTTGCTTCATCGACAGAATAATATCCATTTCTGAAAACTCTTAAAAGAGGAGCTGATGAAGTGCTGTCTGTGTGTCCAAAAAACCCCAAAACAAAGAAAAAAACCAACAAGAGAGGACAGTTTTAGAGAATGAGAGAGGTACCCTATTCTGAAGAGGATATGATGGGTGTCTGTTCTAAATTAATCTTATGCAATTGAGGGGGTCCATTACTTGCACCCACCAAAGTCCTAGAAGTAATTTTAGAAAGTTCTATTGTTATGAAGCAGAAATAGAAAACCTTGAAGAGAAAAAAGCTTCATTACATGAAATGAACACCCCCAGCACCTCAGAGGTGAAGACTCCTGTGACTCAAACTCATATTCAAGTTATTATTTGTCACAAAACCACAATACAATATATAGAATGAGAGAGAGAAAGGCTGAGCAGAGCTGGGAGCTGTAGACTGAAGGTGCCCTCAACTTTTACTGAGGACAGTCGTCTGTTTGAAAGTGCCCTCAATTTGACAGTCTGTCCAGGTGAAGTCTGGCAAGTCAAGGAACTATAAAAAGAAAGCATGGAGGGGCTTTGGAGTTGGACGACAGACAGAGGCGACACACCGTTCATTTAGTCTGTCTCTCCACTAGGGTGAGATGTCTTGTATTTCTATTTAAATAGCAGTTATTTCTAAATTGGTGCCTGTCCAGTTGCTTCTGTGGGTTTGTGTCCTCTTCTGTCCTTTCCTAATGATTCATTTCCTCTTCTTTGGTGGCCACTCTTCTTTGGTGGGTTGTCTCTCCAGGGGATCTGATGCAGAGTAAAGGATTTGCCCTTGGTGGGAATACTGTGCTGTCTGCCTCCACCTGTGCCCCGCTTGTGCATCTGTACATAAGTCCCCAGTGATCTTCCCTTCGAAGGGAACTGAAGTTGTGGCTTTAGAATATCCTACTTCTCCCCAATACGTGGAGTGGATAATCTACACTATATGTTTGCCTCAAAGGCTACTGAGGAAAATTCCAACCAAAACATGGGTACGCACTCTGAAATTCATGCCACTGCAACCATTGAAGCAACGGGCTTCATTCATGCCTTCTTAGCTTTTCGTGGCTGATGTTGATACACCAATGCTCATAAATTGCTAAAAGCACTTTGCCTTCAGGTGTGACTTAATGGGTTGTTGTTGATGATGATTAAAATGAAACATCTACCACTTCCTCAAAATGGGAACATGGAAGACCCTCTGTTGTGGAGGCCTCTGAATCAGGGCTTGAAATCTTGTGTGGAGGTTTGTAGAAAAAGGTGCTTTGTCTAACAACCGCCCCTTTCACTGAGGAATTTCCACAAGAAAGACTAACATGGACTAGTTGCCATATCCCCAAAGTACTGTTGGTTGTTGTTTTGGCATTCTTCTCACATCAGTACACATTTTCTTTTTAGACTGGCGGGAAGCCTGGGTGAGAATAATACATAGAGAATAATAACAGTCCCAATATCCTATGCCTTCAGATCTCCTATTGATTTCAATGAGTTTTGATTGTTTGCATCTTTAGGAAAAGGAGTCACAACAGATAAGGGCCTTGGATAACAGGGAAAGCTTAGCCACTCCTCCACTGTTCCAGTGCCAACAGGCGGGTCTGGTCTGAAAGATGATTTGGGGAAATAAACACACCTGGATCATTTTGGGAAATAAACATAACATTTGCCCCTAGCCTATTTATGGTTGGAGAGGAAGGACATACAATACCTACCCCCACCCATCCCTGTCCTTTTTTGCTTGGCCTGGAAAGCCCCTTCACATTGGAAATGAACTTTGAAGGAATTGTTCTCATTTCTCAGAAAAGAGGCTGGGGAATTACCTAGGTATAAATGTGAAAGCACACACACACTCACTCTCTCACACACAGACACACCTAGTAGAATATTTGCCCAACCAGTGCCTTCCGAAAATGCTGGATCTCCAATCTACATGAGGATGATTGGATTTGTAGTCCCACACATCTAGAAAGTGCAAGGCTAGTGAAAGCTGCCATTTAGGATGAAATAGTACCTACAAGTACCATTTTCATTCCAGTAGCCAGTATAGAAAAACAAGCAGAGCCAAGTTGAATTATGGTGAGCACATAGTTTTGATGCAAAAAAGGCAATTTGGCCCCTGAAAACATTTTCTATGACAGATCTGACCTTTTCACATTTTCCCTCCACTTTGCTCCTCTTTGCTATACCTCTCGTCAGCTGCTTTTTGTGATCCCGCTTAGTGGGCATCATGTGGCTAGCAAGGCAATATCTTGATGTCACTTAGCCAACCCAATTACATTACATGAAAACATTTCAAAGCTTCCTGCCCTCACTCTAAATGGGAAAGTATCCCCCTTTCAAAAACCCCCAGAATTACCACCCAAATAAGGCACGGGTGGGATTTCAGCAGGCATTTTGTGTTAATTAAACATGCCCTCTCTCAGTTTTGACCACATCCTGCGATTGGACCTGTACTAAAGTGCTGGAGATGCTACCAAAAATAATAGGGGAAAATGCCAGGTTCTATGGCACCTTAATGACAAAAGGGGATGAGATTTCACAGGCAAAAACCAGCCTGTGTAGGAGATGCATGAAGCAGTCTGAAAATGAGATGGATACCAGTGGGACATACAGGAAAAAACCGCAGTCTGTCTTCAGTCATATCAGAAGTAACTCTGTTCAGGGTGCAGCCAGGCCTGCCTCCATCCAGACTTCTATGTAACTTTTTTCTTTTCCAACTGATTCTTTTTCTTTTTCTTTTGCAACATTCTTATGTGACTAAACAAGCTCAGTCCTCATTGTGCAATTTAGGGGAAGATGTACTTTGCCTTTGGGCTTGTTTTTCAAACAAGGACAAAACTTCCCCCTAAATATGTTAATATGTTAATACTTGATTCTCATTTCTCAGCGGCTGTGGAGAGGTGAGCTGCCTCTCACGTGCACGTTTCATCTGATCCTGAGGAGGAAGCCGCGGGACAGAAATGAGCAGCTGACTTTGCAGTTTCAAGGTAAGCAAGCGAAGAGACCCAGACAGAGCATGAGAATCAGCCGCCTTGGAAAAGGAGGGAGCCATTTCAGGACTGGTAGCAGGAGCAGGCTGAGGGGCTGTTCCTCCTCTCTCAGGCGGCAGCAGCCTCGTTGAGGGTGGAGGCAGAGTTTTGGAAAAGGAGGGGACGTTTCAGCTCTGGTTCAGTTCTTCACAGGGCCAGATGCTTCTCCTACATCTCAAAGAGAATGCTACTTTAATTTATAATGTTTTGTAACTTGTTCAGCTTTATTAAATAACGTTCTGTGCTTGTAAGGTCTCATCTGAGTCCACTGGTGAGGGATGGAGGGAGGGAGGGACCCGCTCAAGTCAGTAGCCCTATTTTGGTGCTAATTCTATCGGCACTTACAAGCTGCTACTCTACATTTATTTATGGTGCACTCATCGTTCCTTATTCACAGTAATTTTCTGGTTCTTTAAACAATGTCATGACCTTTCAGTTTCACTTCTGTTTTTAAACAGCACTTCTGGGTAGATTTATTTTAAGAACAGAAAAGATGCATTATGGTTTGTGAATAGTGAAACACTTTTTCACCCCTGTAACTGCATTATTCTGCTGTACCATAGTGCCACCTAGAGGTTATGCAGTAGAAAAGCAGGACAGGAGATGCTTTTCACGTAGTGCTTGGATCTCAAATCCTGAAATGAAACTGAAAGCATATTCAGTGGATTAGCAGCCTCATGTAGAAACAAAAGTATAAGAGCCAGTGTGGTGCATGGTTAAGATTGCAGCACTGGGACTCAGAAGATCTGGGTTCTAGACTCCACTCAGCCATGGAGCTAACTGGGGCACAGGCTCTCAGCCCAACCTCCTCTCATGGTTCTTGTTGTGCAGGTAAGATTGATCAGAATCATGCAATCATGCCTTAACTTCCTTCAAAGGAAAAAAGCGGCATAGAAGTATAAAAAATACATCTATATGATGAAATATCAAGGGTGTTTGACATGTTTGTGTAGATTGCTGCTTTGTGGTGGCCATTCTGAATACTGTGTGTTTATTCAACTGAGAGGAATGCAGGGAGTAAATGTGGAGTCTTCCTTAATTATTCTTGTATTATGCTTTAATCCTTCCCCAATATTAGCACATGGTTAAAGCTTACAACAAACACCTCAAAGGATCCAGCGCGTGACACCCTTCAGTGAACTTTGGACTCATCTGTGAGTTTCTTTCCCTCCCATCATGGTAATTGTCACAAATGCCATATCAGTGATTGTATTAAATTTGTTCCTACCTCATTGAGAAATGTTCTCCGTGCTCATGAAAGGCTAACAAAAAAACCCAGTTGCTGCATCTGGCAGCTGGTTGACATGAGAATTAAACTCTTGTACAAGAAGATGAAGAAAGCATTATGCTGGACATATCAGCTTGGCAGCAGAAATATTCTGGGAAGAGAGATTTCACTTTGTCAAATCCAAGCTCCAGAAAGCTTAAAAGGAAGCCTTTGCAAGGAACTCAACATATTTCATCTTGGATGAAACAGGATGGATATTTTGATCATGCAGGAGAGAGCTTAGCTGCTCTGTAGTCTCAAGCAGGAAACCACCAAGGCAAAGTAACTCCCAAACTGTTCTGGTGCTGTAAGAATAAATCAGGTCAAAGCATACTCTAGAAGTGTATTTATATTCATTTTGCTGTACCTTACAGCAAAATGTACATTACACAAATGTTTATACTCACGATAATAAACTTTTATTCTCTCTGGTTTCCTATAATTGGAGTTGAAGTACTATATGGTGTTTAAACCAATTTATTTGGCAGGGTGGGGATGGGCTCCCTTCAGAGGCAGGCATCCGAAAAGTTCTGTTCAAGGAAAGTATCACTGCTGTTTCAAAATTTAAAGCTTTTGGCTTTGTTTTGCTGTGAGAAAATAAAACTGATATTTGGAAGATCAATATCTTGGTGATTCATTAACTCTAATTCTGGATACTTTAAAGATCAAGACATGTTGTTGAGGTTATATTTCATTTAATTATAGCAGCTAGAGTCTTAATGCTCCAACCCTGAAGTCCCAACTTCAATATTTTAGGGAATAACACAGGTTACATTGTACATCCATTTGAGATAGCAATAAATATGCAGGTGCCCCAGAGCACATTAAAATATTATTTCAATATTGTATAACTACAGTCAAAGAAGTGTAACCAACTGGATGGAAATTCTGAAATGTTTGCGTGTATTTTAGGAGCGAGTTGATTATTTAATGAATTTGATCCTTGAGTAATCTCAATAAGCCTTTCAAATTGTGGCACACATTAAACAGGTTTGTTCATGTGTCTGTAAAATACTACACGCTTTGTATCAATGATTATGGTAATAGGTCCTCCTACTATTATTACATCTACCATCAGGCAGAGGGAAGCAGTTGTCTTAAGAGTTAGTTGGTGGGAGGCAGCAGCAAGGTGCTGGAAGAGAGGCCTGCATGCTACCAGGCCTGTGCTGTGTCTCTCCGTTAGACTGCTTCAGGTTCCTCTGCTAGTCAAGTCAACTTTTGTGCGTGAGATGGCAGGGTGTGTCCTCTTGCTCTTTGCCTCAGGCGGCAAAATATCTTGGGCTGCCCCCTAGTATATTGGAATTCCTTGGGAAGCTGAGAGGAGTGGTGGAAAAAAGCAGGGCTGACCTCGAACCACAAACATCTCAGGTGTAGGGGAGGTACAAAATTCTCAGTCAGGCATGTGGAACATGCAACCCTCCAGGTAACTCCCATCAGTCCTCACTATTGAGGATGAGTTTCAGGATGAGTTTCAGTCCAACACCTTCTGGAAGACTGCACATTCTGTACTCCTGCTGTAAGGAAACAGAAGCTAGCCATTCCCTGAAAGAGGCAGTGGAGAAGGAAGGCTGGTGCAAAGTCCTTTGCTGTCTGAGGTGAAGGGCAAGGTGGTGCCCTCCCTCCCAATATAAAAGCTGGCCCAAGTGGAAGTTTCGTCTTACTTCAACACCGAGAACGGAAAGCGTCTTCTGCTGTATCTGAAAGCAGCACACGATCGAAGGGGCAAACAGTCCAGAGCAGGGTATGAGGCACACAAACAGCTTTGGAGTATCTGAAGAGCACTGCTGGATTGGACTAAGGGTCCATCTAGTCCAGCATCCTGTGCACACAGTGGCCACCCGCTGCTCACTGGATCCCACAAGCAGGACAAGAGTCGACAGCTCCCACCACCTGATGTTCCCCAGCAACTGGTGTGCGTAGACACTGGACGTAGCATACAGCCACTGATCGTCTTCAGGAATGCTCCAAACCCCTTGTAAAGCTGTGGAAATTGTCAGCCATTCCGACATCTCGTGGAAGTGAAGTCCATATTTAACTACAGATTGTGGGAAGAAGCCCTTCTTTTTATCTGTCCTGAATCTCCCATGGATCAGCTTCATGAGGTGACCCCACATTCTTCTACGGGGAGGGGAAAAAAATCCCTATCGACCATGCAGAATTTTGCACACCAGCTCTGCCCTCCAACGCCAGCATCTGCCAGCACACTTTGCCTAATGATGGGATCAGCCCTATGCATATAGAAAATAAACTGGCATTGATTGATTTATTTAACACTTTTCTATACCGTCCCATTACAGACATCTCAGGATGGCATCCACCACTGGGAAATAATGTACGCATTGAACTCAGTGGAGCCTACCATTGAGTGGATACAATTGCATTGTAACACACTGAAATTGCCAGGAAGGGCCTCCAGGTGGCAGCTGTTACCAGGGAAAGAAATAACAGAAGCATGAAAACAGCTGCAATAGTTTGCTAAGGGCAGAAAACACAGTTTTCATTGCCATTAAAACGGACTCATCTTTGGAACCTGTGAACTCAGTCTCAGATCTCTTTTCTCTTACTGGTAATCATGAAGTATTAGATATTCCTGTGCATGTGCAGAGTGCCTTCCCATGCACAGCCTAGCCATGTAAAATGGAGCAGAAAAGGATGAACTTCTGGGTTCATTGCATATTGATGTCCAAGACAAACTGTTTAGAGGGGAGTGAGCAGAAGGTAGATCTAAAGGAGATTTGGATTTTAGCTGTCAGAATTCCTTTAAAGGGCGGTAAAGGTCAAAACATTTGCAAACTGGCTTTCTGCCCTTTCTTTCAAAGTCCTCCTCTTGATCTTAACTTTTAAAATTCAGAGGAGGCAGTATTATCAACTAAGATAATTTGCTCATGCACACGTTTTTTCTGCAGGTTTTTTTCTGCCATTAGCAAACATCACATACAGTCCAGGCTGAGAAACCTAGGTTTGGGGCAGAAATTGAGCATGTGTTAGGAGGCACACAAAGCTAAATTACAGAGATTGTCAGATGCAGTAAAGGTACAGGAGCTCCACCCTTGTCCACCTGTGTAAAAGCAGCCATAGCTTCTTCTCACCTGCACAGCACGACACCAGCCTCCTCCCAAGATGTTTTAGAATGCAAAGCCTGGCATTCCTTAGCAGCTATGCTGTCCGGGGATAATGGGAGTTGAAAACCAAAACACCTGGGAAACATCAGGTTGGAGAAGGCAACAGGCAGCACAATTACATTGTGATTAATTGCATGCATCCATCCATGTTAATAGTCTCGTGTGGGACTCTTGTGTGCAGTATATGAATTTAATAAAATAATTTCCAATGTGGCAGCTCAAGGCTTGAGTGTTCCCCCCATCACGTTGCATCCAGCAATGCTCGATGTGCCAGGGATATGGGTTGGGTGTTGCAGAGCATTAACTGCACAGGGTGGCTTGGGGCAAAATGGCCAGTTAGAACAGCCATGCGCACTGGCAACGGTGCTACGGAGGGCTGTGCAAGGGCAGGCTACAGGGAAAATACCCTGGTGGGCTTGTCAGCTGCGGCGGAGGAGGTAAACAGATCTGCTCTCAAAGGTGTGTGGTGGTGTGCTGAGCAACAGCTGAATCGGTACGAGATGATGCAGGGCTCGAGGGCCTTTGGCCTTGAAGTGCTTGGAATTTTGCCCCAAGACCACTGCTCTGGATCCCAAGGGGGTGCCACATCCCCTAATTACATTGCATGGAACCAAACATAAGAATCGCGCTGCATCAGACTGGTCAAACTTGCTACGTCAGGCCTTCCTTTAGGATGCATCCAGGAAGACCCTGCAAAGACAATGTGTCCCTCCTCACTGATGCCCCCCAGTGACAATTCACTGAAAATGGAGGTTTTGTGCAGCCTGCTTGGTCTAGTTGCCCATTAGGGCCAATATACTTCTCCCCAGTGGCTTCATCTTATCACTTTCAAACCTGTCTAGCCTGATGGCCATCGCCAAGCCTTGTGGCAAGGAGTGCCACAATCTGATCATATGCAGCACATCTATCCTGAATCTTCTGTCAAACAATTTCACAAAATGACCCCGAGTTCTAGCATGACTAGACAGAAAAACTTCTGTATACACCTTTCCTTACAGTATGCAAAATTTGATTACTCCCCCCCCCACACACACACACACCTAGTCTGGGTCCCTCTGGATGTGTTGACAACTCTTGTTCTCTCACCTGATGGGGGCTGGAGTCCCACATATCTGGAGGTCCCCAGACTGGGGACAGAATTGCTCTACCACAGGGGTATTCTCCCCCTTTCAGCCTGAGGACCACACTCCATTTTGGAGAAGCTCAGGGTGGAGGGTTCATTCTAGTACTGGGCAGGAAAAAGGGCAAAAGTACCAGCCAGTTTCATCTTAAAGTGCTTACTGCCAGCTACGGAACCTTAGAGGCATTTTGACCTTTTAAAGTGAGGGAAAGCTGCACAAAAGCCAGGAAACTATCAAATGTGCCTGGGGAAAATGGGCAAGGCCAACTAGGGAACCCCAGAGGGCTGGATTACAGCTCCACGAAGGACAGATTTGGTCCCTGAGTTTGGATTCTACTCTGCTTCAACATCTTCCCTTGTCATTATTTCCCTCTACAAGTATGGAGTAACACTCAATGCCAACATGCCCAGTTTTATGCCTATCTGTCTCCCCACACTGATCAGTCTTCTGTGCACAAACAGTCCTTAATACGTAGAAGGCATTTCTCTAGCCCCCCTTTCCCACTTGACACCCCTCTTCTAAAACTTGTGTTCCATGTGCCTGCTGGACTCCGCAGCACAGCATCCGACCTTCCCCACTGAAAACCAAAATTGTCATAGTCTCAGACAATCAAAAACTCTTTAGATCACTTCGGGTCAGAGGAAGAAATTTTTATTCCGTTAGCCACTACAGAGAACGTTTTGTAGCCAGTACTGCAAAAAAGGGCGGGCTTCTCCCAACTGGTGCCCACAAAATGTTTTGGACTCCAACTACCATCAGCCCCAGCCAGTGTTACCAATGGTTAGGAATGCTGAGAGATGAACCCAGTACATCTGGAGGGTTAACATTAGAGGCAGCTGTTATCATGGAGGAAATCATGCCATCTGCTTTCAAGTCTGGTCGAAGGACTGGAGCACTGTAGGTTGTTTCTGTCCTTGGTTTAACACAGCTGGGAGGCAGAATTGGCTCTGAGAAATCCCATCTCTGCACCACTCTTCCTTCCATCCTCTGTACCAGCGGGGCCACAACTGGCACTGGTACAAGGGTTGGGAGAAAGAGGAGGAGAGTATACACATGCCAGTGGGTGGGAAGAAGAATAGATGCTCATCCAAATGCAAAAATCTGTAGGAGTTTGTAAAAAGAAAAAAGAAGAACAGGGTTAGAAAAGTCTGGATTACAGAAAGGAGGTTATAAAGACAACCTGGAAGGATCAGAACATTAAAATCACCTGGAGTGCATGCTTCACTGAGGCAGTAAAAAAATTGACTAATCCTCTCCACTGCCCATTTTCTTAGAAGTATGCTGGAAGCAGATGGGAATCATTTTGTTTTAAACATCATCCTGAGGTTTCCCCCTCTTCTCCACTCTGAGGTTTCAGCCAACCTGTAAGTGTTCCACAATGGTAAATTCTCTACTGAAAATGTTGCCTGGACAGGGTTAACAGAATCCAGAAAGCATCCTTGCTTATTAATTAGGGATGTATACCAGTGTAATGACTGCAGCCAAAAATGGTCCTTTCATAATTCTCAGTCCCTTCTTTTTCATGTCTTGTTAAAACAAGACACATCCATAATTCAATGAGTTATTAGGTATATTTGTTTAACAGGTCCTAATGTTTTAATTATAGTCTACTTTATCCATGATTAGCTGCCTCAGGCACTATTTTTAGTTAGAAAGGTGGAAAAAGAAATTTCATAATTAGAACAAACATGGAAAGTGTTTTGTAAGTGGCAGTGTGGTGTAGCAATCACCCTGCTGAACAAGGACTGAAGAGATCCAGGTTAAAAAATAAAGGTCTCTGCTGAGTCATGAAGCTCACTGGGCAGAGTGAGCCATGTGTCCTACTTTACAGAGGACTGTGCAACTTTAATTTAAAGCCCCAACAGAAGGGAAAACTCTCGCTGATGCTGCAGTTGTCCATTCAGTATCTGGACAGCAGACTGCTGGTCATAATTTTCTCATTTGTGGTAAGTTGTAATATATTTCTACTTAAAGTACAGATATTAGACATCATATCTAAATTTTTATCTCTATTCCCATGAATTACCACAATGGACTTTCATGCAGATCTACGCCCTCTTTTTGAATACTCCCTTCCTTTCCTTACTTTTCTTTTGGGTGGGGGGGATAATGGCTATGTGTCCTCCCCATATGCTATTCCTGTTTGTAGCAGCATGAAAGCATGCTGCAAAGATTCAGCTGCCCAATACCCATCAGCTGAAGCCAAATCCCTGTAGGTCATTTACATGGTGGGATCCTATTAATATTTAGACAGAAAAAAGGAATGTCAAGAATGGTGGGACTTAAATGTCTAAATATGCATAGGATTGTGCTCTGAGGGACACAATCAACTGCATGGTCATACAGTAAAGAGCACCAGCACCATCAGAGGGGTGTAATCCATGGGCACGTTCCATTTTCACCTTTTGAGTACAGACAGAAAAGCAGAATAAGCATGTTTAAATCACAAGAGGTAATAACTGAAATAACACACAATTAATAACGGAAGTGGCCACTGGATGACCTCGGCTTAATCACTCCTAACCCTTATTCTCTCAACTCCTCGCAAGGTTGTTGAGCAATTAAGATAACAGAGAACCACGGATGCTTATCTTAGGTTCTTTGAGGAAATGCAGAACAGAAACATAATGTATAAATACATATATCGATTTCTGGTCTTCATCTTAATTGGTGGTTAAAAGCCACACCAAATACATGTGGGGTCTAACTGCATACTAGCAATGTTCTCATATTAGAAGAGAAAGCAGGTTTTCTCTGTGGAATGGTCCTAACCCCAAAGGTCAGTTAAGTTCAATGAGCTTAGCACAAATGTGATGAAGTAACATCAAAGAGAAACACCCAGGTCTCCTGACAATCATCCTTGCCATGAATATCATATGCTCATTCCCGAGGGGCCAGAGTTGTTATTTCAAGACGATTCTAGGTATTCTAGCCAGGGATGTGAGAGCAGAACCAAAATTCAGGAGACTTTCAGCTCAAAGCCTAGGTAAAAAAAATCATCAGATCTTTGCAGACAGAAGTTCAAACTGCAAGCTGAAAGCTGGACTGTGTGCAGGGCGTGCGCACATGTAGATCACTCTTCTGACCCTAGAACAGGCTGCCACAATTCTGGTGCCCTTCAGGGCTGGGGACAATGGGAACTCTAGTCCAGCACAACTGGAAGGTACCAGGTTGAGCAACACTTAGCTAGATTTTTGTATTATCTGATATTTGACTCTGCACTAGGTATTTCCTGGAAGTCCACAAAACAACGAACAGTGTAGTTTTTAAATTTCAAATTCACTGTTTTAAAAATATGCAAAACCCCATACTAATTCGGGGCTGAAAAGGACAGATGGCAAAGTTTGAATATGACCAAAGAAACAGAAAGAGAAAACATCTCTACTCTTCCTTTTTTAAAAACTCAGGGCAACAGGCACCACTTTTGTCCTTTTGGTGTTAGCACTACCTTTCTATTTATTCTATTATATTAGAAGCATTTCTGCCCTGTCTTTTAAGCACAATCATCTAAGGCAGCCTACAAAGTGGTGGTGATGATGATGATGATGATGATGAAGATGAAGAAGAAGAAGAAGAGGATAGCAAAGCAACCAGCACGCTTCCAATAAGAACAAGTCCTGTGAAATACCCAGACAATAATATTACTAGCAATAAATGTTTATTTCACGCCTAAATGTTCCTGACAAACAGACATGGGGATGGAGCTTGACAGATGGCACATGTCCCCTCTGAGAAACCCTCTTCCTTGAAGTCCACCAACAGGGACATCCATGGCAGGGATGCTACTGTCTATCTGCTGTGTGCCTCACTGGAACACTTGCTCCAAGTAAGTGATTTCTATGGGGTCTCTCATTTCAGCTAAGGAAGCACAAGACTGCAGCCAACATTTCCAAATGTTTCTCCCATAGGAAACTGGTCTCACTGACCTGCCTTCAAATTTTCTATAGCTCCAAGGAACATGAAATGGGATATCAGGGGAAATTGTTCCCCGTTACAGAGGACTTCTTATAGATTAAGAAGAAGGTTAAGATTAAGAGCAAAAATTTCTGTTTTGCTTTGGGGTGTCCTCCCAGTTAGATGACCCTCCGCAGCAACTGGGGTGTCTGTAAGGGGCTCAAAAGGGGAGAGGGAAAAGCAAGCACCTGATTAATGAGCGGAAAGACACTCATCTAACTATGTATTTAGCCCTTTTGTGGCCATTAAATTCCTACGGATTCCCAGGGGCTCAAAGTTTTCCCCACGAACCTTTGTAAAGCCTGACAGTTCCCTGCCCATCACTTTGACCACCCAAGCAGATTTTTCTCTCATGTACTTTCATTTCCTTCCATTTCCGAATCATTGCTGCCTCTCACACCCATTTATTTCTAGTCCATTTTATTTACATAGAAGTGTTATAGCCTGCTTTTTATATACAATCAACTCAATGAGACTTAGAAAAAGAAGTTCATAGACTACATAACATACTTCTTTTAAAAGGGTCAAAAGCCATCCCAGTTTAAATTAGTCAATTCAGTATTTGTTCTATAGTAATTCAGCTTTTTTTTTAGAAACGGAATATAGAATTTTAACCCATCGCATGGCTATTTAAAAAAGTGTTTAAGCAGCTCACCTGAAATCCAGGAGAGATGGAGAAAACCAAACCTCTATAGAAGAGAAGGGAAGGGAAGGGAGGCAGATGTTCAATTTAGAAATGGGGACAAGGGATACCCATTTAAGGTTCATACTCAGGCACTTTACTCATAGTCATACCCAGAAAAACATTTTTATTTCTACCAGATGAAAAAACAGATTCCAGCCATGCTGGAATTATGCCAATCACTATGGGATCAGGATATAAAAACCCAAACATCCTTTTTCAAAGGATCTTACAAAACAGTCTTCCTGAAATGAGAAGAATTTCCTGTAAAGTCATGTTCTAGTCCAAGAAAATCAACTCTGAGTATGCCACAATAGCAGAGTCTAAAAATATATTTATTTAAACAATTCATACCCCACCTTTCTATACAATGTACCTGATAGCTTACTTTCAACTAGGTCTGTCACCCAATTAAAAAAATGAGTTAACTAACTCTGCAGTCTTATTTATACACACCTACCTGGAATTAAGTCCCACTGAACACAGTATAACTTTCTTTATGTGGACATGAACAGGACTGTGTTGTCAGTCAATTCATTAATTAATGAATTAACAGCACACACTTCTACAGGTTTACACAGAAATAAGTTCCACTGAGTTCAGTACGCAAGCATACAAAGGATTGCAACCTAAAATTCTGTAAATTTCCCCTTTTCTCACAAGGAAGCATTTTATTTAAATGCTGCTTGCCGCCTGAAATGTCTCCAAGTGCCTGTATAAAATATCTGCTTAAAAATGAAGGATATGATCAATATTCTTGCTCTTTAAAAAGTACAACACAAATCATTACACTTACCTCCTACAGTCACAAACCAGTTAGCGACCCTGTTCAAGGATCATTATTTTCTTCCACAGTTCTGCCTGGGAGCAGGGTAGCTGTGACTTAAAATAATTCCCGGCAAGTGAACCTCACGAAGGTGGATCCACTGCCGCTTGGGGTTGAGCAGCTCTCTCAGACTCTGGCTGTTTAGGAAATCCCTCTTTAACGTTCAAGCCTAGGGGTAATTTCCATATGCAGGACTGAGATCAATTGCTCCACCCCACTGTAATATGATGGCAAAACCTACATGAAGCAGAACAGCCTTCAGCAGGTTGGGGAAGATAAGAGTAGAAGTTCGGGCTTTGTTTTCTAAAAACTGGTCTATGCCGCTTTTAGAAACAGTCACAAGCTTACACAAATAGCATCTGAGAGAGATACCACAGCTTGTGGCTGAGGTGAGATCTGAAATGAGGACTTCTCAGAGGCTCAGCTGCCGCATGAGCTCGATGTATGAGAAAGCGCTGCAGGCATAATGGCTCTGGGTCAGACTTCACCCTCCAGGCGGCTTTGGGACTACAACTCCCATCTGCACCGAACATCAGCCATGCTGGCTGGGGTGAATAGGAGTCACGGTCCAAATGGACCAGGCTGCAGGCTCACAGACCCGATGTGTAGAAAGCTGGTCTCAACCAGGGTGGGCTTATTTGCCTCTCTGCCCAGTAAGTTCTATGCTGAATGGCAGACTAGCAGCCCTTCCCAGCCTGGCACTCCCCAGATGTTTTGGACTACACATCCCATCATCCCTGTCCATTAGCCAGGCAGGCTAGTATTAATGGGTGTTCTAGGTCATCCAAGTGCCCCCAGGGGTTTACAACTCCCATCAGCCCCAATCTTCAGGGCAAATGATCATAGATCATGAGATTTCCTGTTTAAAACTCTGGTGGGCATTGGTTTAGGAAAAGATACGCTAGTGTTTCCTTGTCCTGAAGAAGCCAGGAAACGAAAGCAGTTCTTCTGCAAGCAAAGGGCTCTGCCACCAAGAGGTTCTATAAAGTATTCGTTGTTCTACTGCTGAGGCATGATCACCTCTCCCATGAGACAGCCTGCAGCGGTTATCACCATATATATGGCACTGTGGATCCTGCACTGCACTACAGGTTGCCTGGGAGCTGGCTATAAGCTGATGGCAAGCATCCGGGTTAGGGCTTTTTCAGTTTAGAGAAGAAGAAAACTGAACCCAAGGGAAAATGAAATGGAAGTTTATTAAAGCATGCCCTGTACAGAAAAGATACCCCTTTAAAATTGCTATCTTGTACAAAATGACCTGTAAGTAAGTCCAACTGAACTTAATGGGTCTTACTTCTAAGCAGAAATAGAAGAGTGCTGTAAGGATACTGGAGTCATCTGGTGAAATTCGTTGGCAGAAGATGCAGGACAGACACAAGCACATATTTTTGTATAAAATTAATTTATGGGATGAGCTGCTATAAGACTTGATGAGCCTCCAGTCTAAGAGGGAATTAGACAGGTTCACGAAGAAAAAGGCAATCGATAACCTCTAGTCACAATGGCCATATGGAAACCCCTCACATGCTTCTGTGTGCCAGTGGCTGGAAACTCCAGCAGGTGGGTGTTGATGCCCCAACTTTACGCTTCCTGGAGCCATCTGTGTGCACAGAATGCTGGACAAGACAGACTCCTGGTCTGACTGAGCAGGTCTCTTCTCAAGTTTTATGGTTATAGCTATGCTGTGGACACTGCATTCAGCAGAGCAAAATAAAGTTGGCAAGAGGTATGGGAAACAATACCAATTTTAAAAAGTTGTGTAAAGTGGGTACATTTAGCCTAGAAAAGGGAAGACTGAGGGAAGGCATACCAGCACTCTTCAAAGACCTTCAAAAACAGAAGAGAGAGCAGAGGACAGAATTAGATCTAATGGGTTGGAATTCCAGGAAGGTAGATTTCAGCTGAGCATGTCTAAATGGTAACAACAGTGGAACCATTACTGGACTGGTGATAGGACTGGTTCTCCCTTGCTGGAGGTTGTTCAAGCAGAGCCTGGCAAGCCATCTCTGGGGGTGTTCTAGCTCTAGATTTCCTACATTGGGGTGGTCCTGGGCTAGGTCAGGATGAGCAGAAGAAAGATATTCAGATGGCTGGGGCTTCAACTCTCAGAAGCTCCTGCCAGCATGGCCAATGGTCAAGAATGCTGGGTTTAAAACCCATGGGGATCTACATTCTGCCCTTCCCTGAACTAATGACATTCCCCTCCAACTCTGTGACACCACTATCCAGCAACAAAAACAGGAGATTTGGGGTGCTTCTAGGCTGACTGCTTTTACCATGACCTGTCCAAAGACATGGCACAGTTATCCTCTTAACAAAGGTTTTTGTTTGTTTGTTTTACTTTTTTCTTCTTCTTTTGGTGAAAAGAAAAAAGATGGGAGAATCACTGGGGAAACAAGAAAAGGTTTCACCAAGCTGAACATGATGTTGCCTGGACACCTCATCAAATTTCGTTAATGAGGCAGGGCCTGATAAAGCTGTACTAAAAGCCCTTGCCTCCCTGCTTAGTGATGGTGAGATCAAAGTCTTTCCTAGAATCATCCTTTGGCTGCCTGCCCGCCCACCCGCCCACCCACTGCTTTGCTAGCCCTTCTCTCCCAAGGTAGCAAGCATTACACAACTACTTAGAAGGGAAAGATATTATACACTTTGCTCTCTTTCCTCCCTGCTTGGTGGCTCCCTACAACTTATTTTTAGCCATGTGCACACAGTGAAAGCATTATGTATATAGACAGAAGCACGGCAAACACAGGTTGTGCAGCAGACAGCAAGAACGGGCACCTGAGCGGCTGCTTGTTCCCCTTTCCACCCAATTGCAGAGTGCAACTTATTTCCCTAAGTATACCTGCTTGAGCAGACATGACAACGGACAGGAGTAATAATATTAGTGGCCTTACTCCATTCTGTTACTAAGTGCCTAGAGACAGCAGGTCAGCTACCACTGAAAACACGACCTTGATCTAAACCAGCTTTGTCCAACCTGGTGCTCTCTACATGTTTTTTTAGATTAGAAGTCCCATTGGCCATGCTGGTGGGACTGATGTTGGAGGTCTTCTGTTCCTCTCCTGAATTTGAAGAAACTTTAATTCAGCCGGTTGTGGGTACTGTTACAATAGCAACATGGGGGACAGGTGGGACAGGGATGAGTGAGCAGTCAACTATTTTCTCTAGATTTATCTATAGCTAAAAATGAGATACCCCATCCCAACAGCAGCAGCGAGACCTGTGATAGAAAGAAAAGGCAGACATGATGGCTCTATTCCTCACTTTAAGTTTAATGGCTAGTGGAGAGCAGGAGATTTAGACTAATGAACCAGCATGAAGAGAAGATTTTTTTAAAAAAAGCTCCACCAGCATTGCTACCATAATAAAAATCTGAGCTGCCCTACTCCCAATGGCTGGTTAAAGTTAAAAATGAAAGTTGGGAGGTCAGATCATGGGATTCCCACATTGCATCAGAAGCTACTTTGCAGCAACCAGTTTCGAATGGTTATAAACTGGCACACAGTGCAGAGATCTGTATTTTGCACCTGTGTGGGGGATGGGGAATTCTAAATGCATGAAACAGCCCTCTGGTTGGAAATTACTGATAGATTCATTTGCTGATTATTAGAAGGCAAGAAATGCTAGATATAAGGGATGTCACAAGAGAGCATGAAATAACTGCATGGGCAGGGGTAGATATAGAACTATATGGACAGATATAGGCAATCACATCTGCGTTGCTAACTTCCCACCATCAAAAGTATAAGAAGGCATGGAAAGTAGATAAAGTGACAACTTTAGGTGAACTACTTTGGGCACAGATGCCAGCTGTGAAGGTGTATTTTAAAAACTTACCTAAGCATAGTGTAACGCTCTGTAAGAGAGTTGTAAGAAGTCTTGCAAGAAGTTAGTCCCACTCAGTTCAACGGCACTTATTCTCAGGTGTGTATAGCGGGTCACCCTTCCAAATATATCTGCCTTCCAAATATATTGGATTCCCATAATTCCCACCCAGCATGGTCAAAGTTGGAAAAAAGGTGTTCTACTGGACTGCAGCTGTTCTGACAAGAGATCACTTCAGTTTCATCTATATGCTTTCAGATAGGAATTATTCTTTTCTTGTTTAGAGAACATAAGGGCCTTCCACAAATTTTTAAAAAGCAGTAGCCCAGATCCATGTCAGCAAGCCTCTTCTTACCTCCACCCCGCCAAAACAAAGGAGCTTAGGTTCTGCAGGAGGTGCAGAGAACATTGAAAGGCTTAAACCAAAAAGAAAGAAATAAGGTGGGGTAAGATTCCTTGGAGTTCTCCCCATTTTAACTTTAAGGCTAAGATTCAATGCATACTAGAGCAGCAATCCTGGGAATAGGTTATTTAGCAAGCGAGTTTCCCTGACTTAAGTCACCCTCCTGAAACTGGCTTCAGAGAAGTAGTATATTTTATATATACAGAACCTATTTAAACCTGTAGGATTTTTCCCTAGAGGGCCAATAGTTTTTTGGGGGTGCAAGAGGGAGTCAAAGAAAATGGAAAGAAATAGATAAGGAAAACGGAAGGGGGGAAGCACTTGCTGCACGAAAGTATATCAAGTCAAGAAATCCAATTACAGTCTGCCTGTTTTGCATCTGGTTTGGCCCACAGGGACCTGCCTTTGCTGAGAATACAGGCAGTCACAACCATGTTACTCCTGTGCCAAACCAAAAAGAGAGCAACTTTTTGTTAACCCTCCCTCGATTCTTGAAAAGCTTGTTAGTTAATGGTGAACACTGAGACCAAGCTATCCCAACCTGGGGCCCTAAAGGTACATTGGACTACATCCCCCATCACACCCACCCATGCTGGCAATCAGTGATGGGAGTTGTAGTCCCACACATTTCAAGGGCACCAGGTTATTGTTATTACACTATTTATATACTACCCTTTTTCCTCTTGCAGGAAACCCAAAGCAGCTTATAAAACTCCATTTTATCCTAACAGCAGCAATCCTCTGAGGTAGGTTAGAGTGCAAGTCTGTGACTTGCTCAAAGTCACCCAGTGAGCTTCACAACTGAGTGGGAACTAGAACCCAGATCTCCCAGCTTTCTATTCCAGCACTCCAACCACTATACCACACTGGCTCTCTGGTTTATTAGGCATCCCCTTAACTGTCACTATTGGCCCACTATCTTAAATCTTTATCTTGTATTTTTAAAAATCTCATTCCAGAAAGGGCCTTAAACTATACTTATACATGTTGGTGGTGTGTATTAGTGGAACTGTTTAGCAATTTAATTTGAGGAAAAACCACAGGCAGGGTTTGGGAGCTGTGGCTAACCACATCTTTGTAGTGGGGCTGTGGGCATCTTGCAAGGGTCCTGCTTTTACATTTGGAGACTGAGGCTACTTCAAGAGAACTAGGACTGCCTGGCTGTGTGCCAGTCAGCCCAGGCTTCCCACCCCATGAAGCAGTTGGGCTGCTCAAAGCTGAACTTGCTTGGGGTTATGGAATTTATATAGCTATTTTTAAATGCGGCACAGAAATTCACCGTGTTGCAAATGAACAGCCTCTCGAAGATCAATCAGCATGGCATCTGTCTTGTCTGAACAAGGGAAACCTTTACTTCAACATGGTGAATTTCATCGGCATCTGGGGGAAATAATCTATACTTGCATAGAGAGAGATTTCTGTTTAGTATTTCATCCTAATCTGGGTTTCAAACCTATATATTTTAAAGCCTTCTAAGTCTCTTGAGCCTTTCACAATTTGGTGCCATCCAAATGCTTTGGGCTACAACTCCCATCATTCCCAGATATCATCCCACTTAGCCCTGCTAGCTCAGGATGATAGGAATTGAAGCTCAACACATCTGAGAAACATCTGGCTGAGAAAGCTGGTGTGGACAATAACACAGTATTAGATCTCATAAACAAGGGAGTCTAGCAGGCAAACAGGTAAACTCGTGTTGGCATTAGATAGAAGCACTATTATTATTATTGATTAGATCTGTCTCCCTCCCTTCCTCCTAGAAGAACAAGGCAGCATAAATGGTTCCTATCCTCACAACAAATCTGGGAAGTAGGAAAGGCTGGGAAACAGTGAATAGACCAAGGTCTCCCACTGAACTTGACAGCCAAATGGGGATTAGAATCCAGGCCTTTCCAGTACTGGTCATCCAAAAAATAAGAAAGAAGAAACCAAACCTATTTACAGAATCTTAAGGAACAGTGGATGGCATCTAGTCCAACCCTGTAATTAAGATGCACATTGAATACCTCCAGCAAAGGAGAGTTTATGAGCTCCCATGAAAATGCTGTCTGTCCCTGCTTGTCCAACTAAACATACTGTGCTGCTCTGAAATGGAATTAAGACACTATAAAAGTGCTACTGCTTAATTAAGCTGAGGTGGGATGAGGGCTAGCTCATTTCCATGGTTCTTCTAGCCACAGAAGAGCCTAGCAGTGAAGTAAAGATGGCAGCTTATAAATGGCATAACCACCTTTTTTATTTCATTTTATTTCTACTGGCCTAGTTCTGGTACCTTCAGCTGCAACCTGTCATGCAGTAATTCAGCAAGTAATACTTTTCCTAGCAGAGAGAAAATGACACTTGCTAACTTTCAGTAGCTCCATGTACAGGAACAGAACCAACAAAAAACAGTCACAATCTTACACACTCTACATATCAGGGCCAAACTAACAACAACAATGGAGATCCATGATAAGACCTCCCATCTCTAATCCTTCATTAAAAGCAAGTGCATGGAAGGAAGCATGATTTGGATCTGGACTACAGTGCTGGGTAGAGTTAACTATTTCCCCACGCCATTTTTCAGTTTATGATCATACAGGCAAGCTGCTTTTTGTGCCATTAGGGATTTGTCCTATTTTCATTAAAATAAATGTCATAATGTTAAGTGGAATTCTAATCATGGATTCTTACCACCTCCCTTGGTCCTCAGCAAGCCAACCAGGGTGAGCACCCTGGG